TTCTACTATTATTCATTTTCATATACATATATGACTTATGACGACATTTTGTTTAAGTGTGGTGTCAAGTACAAGTCTTGAAACCATGATGAGCTTTTTAGAATCTTGGTTTTAGTAGAAGCCTTTTGTTCGATTAGCAATTTTCTTTTCTTTTTTCTTTTTAACCTAAAACCTTATAAAGTAACTTGTTGTGGTATCTTGACTATAAACTATGACATCTTTCATCTATTGCATCTAAACTTTAGCTAGTAAACATGTGGAACATTCCTAAACCAACTCCTAAAATGCAATTACAAATTGGTTAATCTACAAGTAAAAGTGAACCAGGATTTTAAAGATATTGCAATCGTAAAATAGTTATATTAACCAGGAGAGGGGTTCTGAAGTTAGCTCGATCATGTATGCTATGACATGTACTCGCCCTGATGTAGCCTTTGTTTGAGCATGGTTAGTAGATATCAAGGGAATCCTGGTAAAGCTCACTGGACTACGGTAAAGAACATTCTCAAGTACCTCCGAAGGACAAAGGACTGGGTCCTTACCCTCGGTGGGAGCAATGACTTGAGAGTGATAGGGTATATTGATGCCAACTTTCAGACCGACAGAGATAATTTCCGCTCTCAGTCGGGTTGGATATTTACCTTAAATGGAGGAGCAGTAACTTGCAAAAGTTCCAAACAGGAGACCGTAGCTGATTCAACGTGCGAATCAGAGTATATAGCAGCAAGTGAAGCGTCGAAGGAGGCGATATGGCTAAAGAACTTCATCGGAGACCTTGGAGTTGTACCAGCTATAAAGGAGCATATGGAGATTTTCTGTGACAACGAGGGTGCGGTCGCCTTAGCCAAGGAACCAATGGATCATGGCAGATCCAAACACATTGACAGAAAATATCACTTCATAAGACATCGAATAGGAGAAGGATTCTTCGTAATGAATGGGGTATCGTCAGAAGACAACCCAGCAGAACCCCTTACAAAGGGACTGAGTAGGGTTAAGTACTTGCAGCATGCTAGGAGTATCGGGCTGAAGGACGATATTAGTTTTAGTGATTAGATAGATATTTAGAAA